GTGGGAAGAAAGTAATGGTAGAAGCTTAAAGAATTGATATTCCTACAGTCAAATCATTTAGCAAATTTAGTACTAGAAATGTTGGGTAAACTGTACGGCAGTTCTTTGTTTAATTCAGACGCCGTTTGTACAGTGAAGATATTATATTTACTCAAAATCGATAAATAAGTCTCAACACTTCAAAAAACAATGTATTCTTCATGAAATTCCCTTAGAGCGAATTACGCAACTGACATTCATACTCTGTAGTATCCTACTTTCTTTGGCCATATTGACCATTTTCTAAAAATAACAAATTATCCGTTCTCTAAGCAGATGCAGGCAGTAACAGAAGATTAATTACCTCTTTTCTTTCAAAAGACTTTATGTGAATCGTCGCTTTTATCTAAATATCAAATTACACAACTTTAAAAAAAAATTAAAAAAAAAATTGAAAATTGAGTAATTAAAAAGCTGAAGCCATTTCTTTGCGTCATTTTCTTATTGCTATCGAGATAAAAACTGTGACGATACCATTCAGAAAATAGCTGGAAAAACTTTTTACGGCAATGAAGCTGTCAAGCCATAAAGTAAAATTGATTTTTATGAAATTGAGTAAGGCTTAAAAGTTGATGAGGCATTGATTAAGTTAGAAACGAATTTTTTGTTTTTTTTTTTTTGTTGACGTTTAAATGCTTAATCTGCTTCTTGTTACCATTTTATCGCAGACCGTCGGTTTTTAAAGGTAAGAAGAAGAATTTAGTCTGTTCATTTCTTACAAATTTTTCATCACTTAACGCTGTCTACAATTACAATTTTTGGAATAAAACGCTGCTGTCATTTTTCGACCTGTCAGAGGGCGCTTGAAAATTTTTCTGTACAGTATTTTGAACGAATAATTTTATTTTTTAAGTTACAGCAGATCAAAAAGCTCAATTTTTAATTAAAATTGCTACTTTTACTTTACTTTTTTTTCGCATGATAAGAATATGTTCTAATATACTTAGATCTCAAAATAATCTTTTTTTCAGCAATAATTTATTAAAAATTTTGCTGTCAAATTTTCTTTTTTTTAAAATTTTTCTCTTAGCTTTCTTGTCACTTTTTGATATTTATATTAACCAGTTCTTTATTTCTAAACAACCTGCGTAAACTGTTGAAATAAACACTTCAAAAAAAGCTGTTTTTTAGGCAGCGATATAAATTTTTCATTTCAGACTAAAAATATTTCTCTCACTTTTTTACTTTTTTTCAGTCTTTGAGCTTTTTTTACGTTAATGACAACAGCACTTACTCTTATTGTTTCTCACCACAACTTACGTTTTTTCTTTCTTTAATTAATCTTTTTTTTTTATTTTTTTCCGGAAACAGACAGGAAGATTAGTGGTGTATTGATTAAGCATAAATTATGAAAAAATCGTGTGTAAAAATAGAAGAAAGTTGAGTAGCGTTAAATTTTTCTTCATTGCTTTATCAAATGTTGCAAAAAATTTTTTTCGTTTATTTTATACCTTCTTTTTTTATTTTTCTGTTTTTTTTTTTTGATCATTTTAGTGCAAAAATGTTGCTTTGATTCTACCACTGTGCTACAGCAAATACTTTTGGTTGACAACAAACGCCAAATATCCTTCAAAGCCCGACACACGTAAATCAAATATTCTTTATGCCGCGAAATAACGCATAATTCACAATTTACTTAAATTTTCCTATTATTTTTTTTACTGTTTACTAAAACAACAATAGAATAACTAAATTGTCTTAAAATTTAACTGGTAGAACTCTGCTAAAGTTTTGTAAAATTTAAAATGCTTGCAAAGTTACTCCTTGTCGTTTTTGTGTATAATGTCGTTCCAAACTATCAACTTTTTATTTTGTCTGTTTATAGTAACTTTATCAACGAAAACAATAAATCCCAAATATACCAAAGCTTAGTCTCTTCAATCAAAAATAAAAAATTGTGTATGAAAACTTTAAATTAAATTTTAATATAGTTTTTTAATTGCATAGTATAGTCTGCTACAGTTTTGCGATTCAATTTAGCAAATAGAATAGCTTATTAGGTATTTGGATAAGTCACAATTACAGCCCGAAACTGCAACTGATGCACCCGCAAGGTCTAGGAAAAAATGTTCACAACTGAAGTACCTCAAACTTGCAAAAACATCTGAAGTAACAAACTTTCTAATTTTTTTTTATACTATTCTTGAATTTACAATCTAATATAAACAGATCAATAAGCAGAAAAAGTGCGTCCAAAATTTGCATAAAAGTGAATTAATTGTTACCAAAGAGTATATCAGCATCACCAGGTTATATCAATCTCTTATTTTGGAGCTTTCAAGGCTCATCGGCAAACGACATCTTCATAATTGTCCTCGGTAACGGAAATTTTTGGAAGTACTTCACGATTATGGTTCATCCTCGCTTATAATGATTGGTAATTCCTTGCGAGTCCCCTTGTAGCGCAAATTTATTGACTATGAAATGTATCGTGAACCAAAGACTGTGTAATTTCTTCATTTCTTTTGACATTCTGCTTGTGTTGCTAGACGGTTTTCCCTACTTTTGACGACAATGATTATAATTCACCATTATTAATGTTTTGAAGCCATTTTTAATTTATAACATTTTTAGCACATGATCATAAACCATAAATATCAGTTGTAAAGCAGTATATTAGTCATTCCAAATTTTTTTAAAACACACTCTTAGCGTGTGCTAGTAAAGCAAATTCTGAAAAAGCAAATGACTGTTTGTCACTGAAAAGTTATATTAACTTTTTAGCTATGCTACGTTAATGCACATCTCAGCTAACCTTACAGATCTTTATGATTTTTTATTAGATAAATTTTTATAAGAAGCATTTGGTGAAAAAAGTAAAGTACTATTAATTTTTTTTAAAAAAAATAAGTTTACGCGAAATTCTTTTTTATTTAGAAAGTGAGTAATTTGCAGATGGGATACCAGTTTAGAAATCACGCTGTAAACCATTACAACAAAGATTAAGTTGCATATTTTGGTTGATTGAGTGCAGTTTTACTGCTATGTTCGTCTTTAACTGATATTATGCAGTATTACTGAAGTTTTTTCCTGTTAAAAGTACTGTAAGTTTTCATACTGACATTTGTTGGATATTCTGCTAAAAAAGCCCCACTTAGCTGTATATTCAACCCCCGATTTAACACTTTATAGCTGTTACAAAAACAAAAAAAGAGAAAGCTTAGGTTTTCCTACAAAATTTCTCTCTAACAAAAATTTCATAAATTTCTTCAATTTTGTAAAATTTTAGTGGTATTCTCTATTTGGATTACAACATTAGAGCTACTAGGTAAAGTATGTCAGTTGCATCTTCTCATAGGTTTATTATCCTTCGTTATTTACTTTTCATCATATTCTTATTCAGATTGCATTAATTCATCAGTCTGTCACTCTATCTGCCCCATTCTTATACATCTCGCATTTCCGACTATTTAATATAAATCTTTATGTTTTATTTTCAATAAGCTGAAGGAAAGAAACTTTTTTTACAGGAAAATAACCTCCAAAAACATCTAAAATTAGCAATTAAAAGCAGGTGCCAATAGTACAATTAGAAATTCTCGATACCAAAGCTACAGAAGAAAGAGTTAGTTTGAATAACAAGAGCTTCTTTATAATATCAAAAAAGTTGGGTAGTCTACTACAATTTACAGGCACTGAGAATAGTCAATTTTAAAATTATTTAAAACGCTGAATCGTTAGTTGCTGAGTGTTTTTTACAGAATAAACAACTTTTGCAGATTTTTACCGACTCAGACTACTTTATTGAAATAAGTGTAAAATATACATCATATGATCGAACATACAGCTCTTTAATAGACTTATATTATATAAGAATTTCTTCAATTTTCCAGAACTTGCTTTACGAACGATTTTAAAATACTTGATTTTATCAAAAGTTAGAAAAATGGCGATCTTCTGAGTTGACTATTTGTGACTAATGTCTACACCTTCTTGTAACTTTTTGAAGGCGCTGGCTAACATTGGTTATCCTCAATAACATAATTTTCTTCCACTTCAGAGAGGCTTTTTTACTTAACAAAATGTCAAGAATCTCGTTAGACTGTCTAAAGAACCGATCAATTTAACATAAAACGGTCCAATTTTCTTTAATCAATAAAGGCGTCTTGATTATTTCTGTAAAACCCATTCATTTGCCAAGTCAAAATATCAATCATCGTACATCAGTGTCAAAGCATTTTTTCATATGTAGTATTAAGTTGAAACTTCGGGCGTCCTGAAATTGAAACGAAGCTATAACATTACTTTACCGAAAGAATTGACGAGTTTTCCAGGACGAAGATGGTTAAGTTAAGTTGTCTTTTAAGTAACCTACTCAATGCAGCACCTTCACTAAACGGCAGTTGATCGCGAAGCTAATAAGCCATTTTCAAAGCAGGAGATAAATGTCCAAAAAAAAGCTTTGAAAAAAATCAAAATTTTTCAAATAACGTATTACAACTTCAAAAAACAATACAGAATTCACAGCGTTTTTTATACGAATTTTCCGTCACATCAACATTTACAAATTTTTTTCATCAAGAGAGAATAATTCTTTTTCTAGAGTGATTTGCAAGTTTCATAACCTGCTTTTTTCTTTGAAATGTACCAAAATTAAAACTTTATTAATGGTTCTTTATAATTGTTAAATATGCGCATACGAGCCAATCTTGTTCATAACCTCCCATCTTTGCTTTATTTTCCTTTTGTTTCCTCACTACTTTTGTGTCACCTTTTCAGATCCAATCTTGATTCAAACAAAAAGAAGCTCTTAACAATAAATGCTAAATCCGTTCGCAACCAATTTTTATTATTCATGTAGAATTCCTCTCTAACTAATATCGTGCGCACCACCCTGTTTTCTAAATCTAATAAGCCGTGATAGATGTTTTAAAAAATCAGGACGTTGTATCTACATGATAGGAAATATTATGAGACCAGTTGGTTGTCAGTTAACAGTTAACAAACACGGTGTACAACCATTACGGTGATGTTTCAAGATTTTTCACGGTCCTTCCACAAACTTCGCTCCTAAAACTTTTGAAAGTCATTTCGTATTCGTTTATGTCCCCCTCTTCATCATGAGCCACAAGCTGCTCCGTTTCAAGTCTGCTTGATTCACTGAAACATCAATAAGATAAAACAGCGTAAACAAAAGAAGAAAGACGAGAAAGGGTTTTCAGTTGAATCGCTGTAAAACGGATTGTTCATTTAGCTGCTCTCTCTTTCGAAGAACATTGAAATATAAACATTTACAACCACGTGTTTTTGACGAGGTTCCAATCTGAGTATTACCAAAAGTACTACTAGTTCACATTTAACATCACTTACAAAAGTTCAACCGAAAATGAAGCAAAAGTTGAAGTAAACAATTTAAATTCTTAAAAAAATTGAAAAGCAGCTAATAACGAAAGCGAAAAAAATCTATTTAACCAAAATTTCTAACAATACGCTTATAAGCATGAAAAAAGAATAATTTAACTGCTAAATAAAAAAAACCATGAAAAGAAGCAGAAAACCTACGGGTAAAGAGTTTCATTACTTCCATATCTATCCGCAGTGAGAGGTTCAGATAATAAAGCAACCAACGCCCAAAACAACCTTAAATTAATTAAACCAGCTTGTAAAAGACACTGCTTTAATTAGTAGCCCATAGCAAAAATTAAGCGAAATTTAAAAATGACGTACGCTTTTAAAATGAATCCGGTAAGTAAAGTTCCTATAGGAATTATAACTAAAGCGAACCAAAAACTTGGAGACTTAAACATCATAAGAAATAACCTGCACGCGTCAGCTCCCAGTGATACGTACTGCCAAGCCTGCTACGAAAAAACGCTAGAACTACCGTTGCCAAAGGATCTAACTTTTAGTTATACTTTATAAAAAAAAACTTACTAAAGAGTAGACAAATATGTATATCACCCATAGTACGATTGTACAAACAGTTGCAAAAATAGAACATAAAATCCATGGAGAACAGTCGAGCATAACTTTTAAAGAAATTGTTACCAAACAAAACTGAAATGTAGTTTGAATAACTCAGCTTAGAAAAGGTTGAAAATAAGAATCTTAATCGTACTGCGTAGTAGGAATTTGTAAGCATTAAATGTCCTTCCGTGTGGCCGTTACTCCACAGTGCAGAATGAGATACAAATAAAACAGAAGAAGAGTACAATACTGCTGAGTGAAGACCTGCCATCAGAATAGACAATAAAAAGTCCTGAAATAAACTGGTTATTTCTGCAATTGTCAATAGTCCGCATTTTGATTTTCTTGCGTGGAGCAAAGTGGGTATATCAATATGTAATACAGTAGTAGAAATAGCTATTTTCAAATAATAAAATGCAGTACAAAATACCATATAGCTAAACTTTTCGTTAACAGTCTTCAAGTAGAAACATTTCTCAAAATTGCATAAGCTCTTTGCCATAATGTCAGAAGAACTACAACGGAGACGAAATAAATTTTAAGGTGTCTCCTTGTACAATTAAAAAAAATTGAGTCTTTTAACAGTAAATAAAACAATATTTTTTTGCATAAAGTATAACATTTGATCTTGAATTCTAAAATGACTTACATGGTTCTTATAATGTACCTCCTTTAAAGCTTTATAATTCTTAGGTTGCGTAAGAAGTTCTTTTTCAGAGAAAGGTATAAAAAATATGCCCAGCATTAACGGCTCGACTGCTGAGAAAAGTAAATTAAATAGAGCCATAGAAGCCAGGCCAAAGAATGGTTGGCCAGAAAATGTGGAAAAGAATCCAGACCACAATCCAACCAGAAAAAAACAAATATTTTTATAGAAGAACAACAGAATAACCTAAAAAATTTGATAATTTATTCGCTTCAGTAGGCAAAAAAAAAAGTTGTTTTGGAGAATCAGCAATTGAGACCTTTGCATTTCGCTGATGACTGCAAACTCCGTGAAAAAACAATAATCTTTTGAGGAAACGAAATCGCGGTATGCTATAATCGCTGGCATTTACAGCTTGCAAACCTTCTTGACCATATATGCCAACTCCAACATTTGCCGCCTATGACAGTAAATTATTAGCTTATAAAGGTAGAAAAATGAACTTATATTTTTATGGTAGCTAACGTGAATCATCGGAACATCGTTCGCTCCATCCCCAACCGCTAAAACAACATTTTTTCCATTGTCTTGAGCCAATTTAACAACTTCTGCTTTCTGCTTGGAAGATACACGGTGACAAATAACAGAATGACAACACATTAACAATTGCAGTAATTCATGACGGCAAGATTCTTCAAGAGCATCTTGCAGTTCCTGAAAAAGCTTAAAGATAGTCTAATAAAATGCAGTACTCATTGCTTTTTTACCGCCTATGTTGAATTGGTGCTACAGTTCCTGTCGAAAGAACAAGCATAGGCGCTGTACTTGCCAGTCAGCTGCAACTCAAACGCGCGGGATGAGATTTGCAGATTAAACTGCCAGCCATTAAGCTTTGTATAAGCGATCGCTTGATGAGGTCGAGTTGGCAAAATGCATAAGCTCGACAAAGGATCTTTGTTTGGCTGAGCCAATGAGCTTAATTACAACTCTTTCAAAACATGCTTCTGCATCTTTTTGAGGAAAAAGAAAAGTTAAAAAGTAGCAGTTTTGTTACTTTCTGTAATTACTGTAATACTTGTGCTTTTTCTGGGAGTTTATTTTCTGCAAATTGCGCGTTTACCTAGCATTCGGTGGATGGTTTAGTGTTTTACTAGCGTTATGGTGCTGTCGCCAAAAGAAGGCGAAAAAGCCAAAGACCGACTAACGACCAAAGCAAAAGGCTTTGGTAAAATATAAAAAAACCAACTCCAAACTACAACAAAGAGATCAGCCACAAGGAAAAGACACAAAGTCCAAAGATGAATTGACGAATTATCTCTGTAAGTTGCACTAAAAAAAACTAAATCAATCGCATAAACTCGATCGGAAATATATCCCAACTCTCAAGTTGAAAAATTATGCTATCTATTTTGGTCAAAATTGTAAAGACTAAAAACTGCATATATTTTATATAAACAATGGAAAAGTGTATATTAGAAACCTGCAATTGTAAACAGGTTCTTTTACTGTCTCAGACACTGATACTTACGCTCACTCTCTACTTCTTTGATTATAAACTTATTTATTCTGGTTACAGTGTTGTTTTCTTTTATTCTATTATGATTTTCCATAAACCTAACAAAATTGTCGTCATGGATCTGGATACTCTATCTACTAATAAACCAATAAACGCGTGACAGGCTCATGCTTCTTTGATACAGTATTTCTAATTTTTAAACGAGATTCTGCGACATATGTCATTGATAGTTTTGATTCTTTCTCGTTCCTTTTATCAGTTTTGAATACGTCTCTCCTTTTTTTGTTGCTTCATCTTTTCCCTTTGTTTCTTCTTTGAATGATTCTAAGTTTTCCCTATTTTAAGTCATTTTCTCGACGAAAACCTTACAAGTTGGTAAAACTCCTAGACGTTTAAGAATATTATATAAAAAGAGCCTTTAGAGCAGGCATCAGATTTTCAAACAATGAAGACTATTCAGAGTTATCCAGAGTCAAACGGTTTAGTTGCAGTAGCCCAATTACCTAACAGAAAAACTGAACATTTTTATGTGCCTCAACAGCAACGTGCTTAAAATGTGGTTAAGAAATGAAATAATGTAAATAAAAAAAAGATTATAACCTTGAAAGACGTTTTTTATATTTTGAAAACAGAAATCAACTAACATCTCCTTTTATAGCAAGAAGAAATTTTTTTCCTTCTTTCAGTAGTCTTTTCGTTTCCGTTATAAGCTTCTCTATAGATGCCCGAATAGGTGGTTGGCCCTCCAAATTTATATGCAGCACGTCACTTTGGGCAGAACAAATTCCTGCAGCGCACGCAGTACCATATGCAGTCTCGAACTCGTCGCCTGTTACCATCCAGACGCGAATTCCTGCTTCTGTCACAAATTTTACTGTTTCTGGAACATCCTTAAAGCCAAAGGAATTTAAAAAAGAAGTTTTCATTAGATTTCCACTGCGAGGAGTGGCATTCTGAAGACTGTACGAAATAACTTCTCGCATACAAAGTTTTATAAAAATGTTTATCGCCAAGAATATTAAGGGAAATGCGTGTAGCTTCAAAAAAGGTTACAGCAGTTTTTCCTATACACTCAGAGAAGCAGTGAAACTTTGTCTCAGGCAGCAAAGGTACCTAAGAAAAGAAAATAAAAAGAGATTCCAGTAAAAGATCAAAAAAATTTATTAAGCAATGCTGTTTGAAGAGAAAAGTAGAGATAAAAAAAAGCAGGACTAAAAAAGTTCTGAAGGGACTACGACTGTATTTTGTTTCTCCACTTTGAGCACTATGTTGCGCAGTTTAAAAATTGAGAATGAAAGTTCTGCAAGCTATTCCCAAGGGCAGCAACTTTTGAGAAAAAAAGGACTTTATTTTGCTCATTTATTTGAAGCACAAAATTACCAAACTTAAAAATTATGAACAAACCTCTTGCAAGCTGTCCTCTAATGCTGAAGCTCCAATTAAGTTAAGATCTTTCTCAATTTCAGCATAACATTCATCAATTAATTTGTCTCGTTGATCTTCCTTTGAACAATTGCAAGCTTTTTTGTACTTCTCCTCCCAAGTGTGATAAAAAATTTCGTCAAGTTCGCGATATGCAAAGCTCAGCATTCGATATCCCTAAAAATTAGCTTTCGCGTTCAAATATGCGCGGCTTTTAACTGGTTAACTCACAACTCCTTATATCAAAAAGTATTTTACTTTTCATCAAAAAATAGATAATATTTTGTTTTCAGTTTAAAGAATCAGTTTGAAAACTTTATGTAATTCCTACTTTTTCTGCATACTCGGTCAAACACATTTTGCATTCATCCCGGTATTTTGAGTTTTTATCTAAGCGCTTGTAGAGCGTGGAATCCTATAGAAAATGTGGAATAATCATTGTCGACTGTCGTTAATAAAATTGCAAAAAAAAAAAAAAAATAATTAATAAGGTAGATTATAAGCATTACCGCTCCTTTAGTGTAAACTTTTACTGTTTGATCTGGGCACCGAACAATAACAGTCATTCTTTTTCTCTCACTCGTAAAATTCAGCACATTTAGAATTTGATATTCTACTTTATCACCGAGCTAAAAATTGCTTGATAAACTCTAAATACAGTAAGAAGTATGCTGTGTGCTTACGCTAGATCTTAGTCCTCTTTATCATATTATATTGTTTAAAAAAAGCGTAAAATTTTTTTGTTTTTTTACACATTTTTAGTTCTAGTCACTATAACTCGTCTTTTTGAGACAAAATCTCAAAAAGCTTGCGTGAAAGAACGAAAGATGACATTTTACGTATAGCCTTCGCATCAGCCACAAAAAGATAAAAATGGACAATAAAATTATACATTTTCCAGATGCTTTGAAGACAGATAAAATTTTGATTTTAAAGTTTTTTTAATGTTGCTTGGTTTTGACCGTTATTAAAGTTTTTACCTGTAATCTACGCAGTTTATATGCAAAGCATTTCCCTCTAAAAACTATTTTTTCAAAAAATTATTGTATTAAGGTCTAAATTTTTAATACTTGAAATTAATTCTTGCTGTTGCCGTATAAATCTCAAAAAAAAACTTTTTATTCTGAATATGCTAAAAAGCGCTGCTTATAAATATACTAAGCCTAAAACCTGTTTGGTGGAAAGGAAAAGAAGGTTCGACTTATTCACATTTTTGTAAAGTTAAGCGGCTGACAGAAATTACACATGAAAGAAGAAAAGTATTTATTGCCAAACTAGTCTACTGTAATGAACAAAGGTAATTAAGACAGGAAAATTGTCTTTTTAATATTTTTATCTTTCTAAGCAGTACTAACTTTAAAGAAGGAGACGCTTCTTGAATTCGAATTAGAAAACAAATAATTAAAAAATTTGCGCTACAAGGTAACACCAATTCACTAAATAAATTTCTTCAAAAACAGCTGATTTAACTTGATGTTTACGACATACCTTAAGCAGTCCAGTTTTTTTCTTAACACTTGAATTTTATTGTTTTAGCAACTCTAAAGAGGTCTATAACGTTACTTCGTGCAATAAGTTATATAGTGTCAAAAGCTTGCTTTCTGGCAAATAAGTTTCAGGTAAAAAACTCGTCAATTATGAGTTATTATCAAAAAACCTCTTCAACTGTGACGTAGTCAGAACGCCGCTCATATAATTTGAACTTCAACAGTTTCGCGGCTCGAACTAAGGCCACTTCATCAGGAGATGATCCAGTATAAATAATCTTTCCTTTGCCCTTTTCCTCTGAATTTACAGTTTTGCCTTTTTCCTCTAAATTTACAGTTTTGCCCTTTTCCTCTAAATTTACAGTGTTACAGAGTGTAAGCACGTGCAAAAACTCCTTGAAAGTTTCACGGTCAACCTAAACATATGGCATATTAAACAGCGGTTCCTCTATAAGACTTCCTTATAAAATTACTTCGTGTTGAGAGTATAAAATACAGTCATTTGCAGAACGTGAAACCCCTCTGCAAGCTACAAAAGAAAAAATGACCATATTTCAAACAGAATAAAGAAATGCTTTACTTAGTAAAATTTTTCACCTTTTTATAAAATTGATATCCTCAGTTAGATAGAAACAACAGTCAGAAACAAACGTTCAAAAGTTGGCAAGACACACAGTATTTGGCACCCCTATTTAATCTTTGTTTTCCAGCTCAAACCGTTACTTGAGCATTGTTTCAATAAATATGCCAGTAACTAAAATTTCACGACAATGAAACATACCTGCTTAATTTCCAAGTCATTTCTCGAGACAGTAAAGTCATAATTGACTCCAGCAACACAAAAAGCTTTAGCTTTCATCACATTATTTGTTAAAGTTCCAGTCTTATCGCATATTACAATATCAACCTAAGATTAAGAAACCTCAGAAAGCAAGTTTTCAGAAATTTTCAAAAGGTTCTTAAGTTTTAATCAAGTATCCTTAGAATAATTAGATAATTACATGCAGTTTGACTTAGTTTTGGATTTTATTAATATAGTTATTGTTAAAAAGATTGCACTTTAATGCTGTAAAACGCAAAAGCTTAACTTAGCTTCCACATTTAAAACATTCGTCTTTGCTCTACTTTAGAGCTGATTTTGGGTAATTATGTTCGCGATACTACTCAAAAGCCTCACCAAAATTACAAAAAAAGTGACAGAACTTTGCTTCAACATCATTTGCTTTCTTTTTTTATTTAACAAAAACATTCACAAAATTCGCAAAAATATGCTTTTAAGTTTTATCGATTTCTCAGAGTAAGCAGTTTTCTATCAAAATCAAGAATAAAATCTGCGAGAAATCTGGAAATACACTGTGTCTAACGCAAGATTAGAAAACTTTTAGAAAACTGATAAGCTTCCGAACAAAATACTCATTTGAAAAAAAAATGCTTAAAATGATCATCATTTATAAGCTCTCTTCTGAACCTACTTGACTACATTTCTAAGAAGTTTACCAGTTTACTAAAAAACAACGATTTATTTAAATCAAATATCATACAGTCAAGTATAAAAGATTGTCAGTAATAAGATACATCATCACATCTTTCAAATTAAAACAGTAAGTAAACAGCAGTTTGATAGACAAAACTGTTGCAAACCTGTCCTAACTCGTCGTTTAAATTTGAAGTTTTTACTGAAGTACGAGTGTCTGTGTATTCGTCATACATTTCTACATCCTAAAAAACGATCAAATTTTCTTTCCTACTAAAAAATTTTCCTGCGCGTAGCATAATTTTTAACTTGAAAAGGAAAAAATGAAACAAACGTACGTGGCTAATCAAAAAACCTTGGAGAAATTTTATTAGTTGAAGTGTTGCCATTAACGAAATAGGCACCAAATTGTTGAAGAGGCTTAAAAATATAAGGAAGCTTGAAAGAAGTGAATTTCGAAAACCTAAAATAATGAAACCAAATAATAAAAAAAACTGAATGTGACTTTAAAGCAAAATTTATTAGAGATGTAAAATTTTTAATAAAGCCAAAGCATAAAAGAAAAAGTTAACGAGATCAAATTACTGAAGTGTAAAACTGTAAAATTTTCTAAAAACATAAGGCCAGCTCCGCGTTAAAAAAAGCAAATTTTATTCTGTTCATTCTCATCAACTTTTAAAAACGAAGTAAACGAAGTAAATTGGAGGCTTGATCTTATTGTTTTCAAACTTGATTTTGTAGAAAACGTTCATTTGTTTTTAGATCATACTACTAAGAACTTTAAGCGCTACCTATATAAAAAATCAAACAGCGTTTTCTAATTTATTGCAGTAAGATTTTCAGCTTTAGATGCATCTTTTTTTTTCTCATTGTTTTAAAAACGTTTGAGAAGCCTTGTTAAATAATAATAAGCACGTGTTAATTTCCATTTCAAAATTAAAGTTAATAAAAGTGTGCCAAGTGTTTTGAATACAAACTTTAAAATTAAACTGAAAAAAAAAAAACTTCTGTGTCTGCAATCAAGTTTTCTTGAAAAAATTTGTAATTATTAGGTTGTGCTGTACATAACTTAGTGTTAAATTCTGTCAAGAATTTATTATTTTATTGAGAATATTTTTTTTTTTTGAATTATTTACTGATAAGTTATTTGTACAATAAAATAATATTCTTTCTTTATTATGGTTACTATATTAAAGTTGAGAATTATTTCTCAAAAACAAGAAAACCTCGTCAGAGAAACTTTCGGTTTTTTGACTTATTTCTGATACATATTCTGGCAAAGTGCGTATATGAAGCACAATAAATTAAGCATTGTTTTTGCTTACAAAAAGGTTTCACTTTCTTTTCAATAAACGACGTATATTTTTATAAAGTTAACTAACTTGATGGAGGCAGGTAGTACGCATTCATTATGAACCAAGTTTTATAAATGTAAGCAAGAATTGCGCAAACTACAAGCAGTAATAGCAAAATTGAATAGAGAACGAAATTTTTCTGGTTTATTGTTTTCTCCATCTTTGGCCTTAAAAACATTTGAATATAAGCGAGCATCAAATAAGACGAAAGCAAAGTGGTAAAAAATTTTTTGATAAAACTAAACTGTTTTTGAGGCACCACGGTTGACTTAAGCTGCAGTTTAGTTTCATGACCAGTGTAGAGCACTACGCCATAAATCCATGCTGTGCTTTTCAAAACAGCACCGCGAAGTAATAGTTGCTGTGGTCCTGTAAGAGCAATTTTTGATCGAAACTGTTGGCGAACGCCGTATACTATCAAGTTTTGTTATGCCTTCAATTTATAGTAAATGTCTTACTTTAAATTCATTAACAAAAAAAAAAAAAAAAG